GCCGCCGCACGGGCCCGGAGAGCTCCTGCGAGAGAAGCCAGCGCAGCGACGGCTGGCTCCAGCCGACGAGTGAGCGAGGAAATGAGGACCATTCAAATTGCCACATCTACTTATTCGAACTCTAATTACTACAATTTTCATCGTAGAGCAAAAATAAAAGTATCAGTGGAAAGAGAAGGGAACCGCGCGGGTGCATAGGGGGTTCACAATATAAAAACCGCCGAACAATCCCCCCTTTTATGTAATAGGAAAGTAAGCACTTTTTGAACGAGTCTTTGAACACTTTATTATTTTTTAATATTGATCAAATTGGGCATTGCACCTCCGGGCATCTTTCTTCTATCACATGCAAAGGTAAAATTACTGATCCGAGTGATACGCTCCCGAGGAGAGTTCAAATATTAGTTCAAATGCCGAAGTTCTATTCTACTTTTAAAGATACTGCTGTGAACCCTTATATCACTGGAAGCGGCGCAGCCTCAGTAATATGATGCCGGACCTAATTTTATTCAATCTCCAATATTTCTGGTAGCTGTTAGGCCCGTGCAGTTGATCTGACTGCAGACAATTGCACTCTATTGGGGGCCCGGAGCTCGTCCTATTGTATGACTGACAGGTCGCCGCGCGCCGCCCGCCCCTCCCCCGCCCCGCCGGCGGTAATCCCTGCCCAGCGGTCCTCAGCAGGTATACCCTGCGCGAAACAATTCGGCAACACAAAAGTCGAGGAAATGCACCCAAAGCCTATCTATGCAATGCATTCGGAAATTACCACAAGCTAGCGTTATGTTTTTGGAAGTGTACCGAAACTAGCACTATCTCTCGGACAACGCGTAAACTTTTTGCGGAAAAACAGCAATACACCTTGACGATAACCGGAGCGCGGATACTCATCCTAAGTTACCTTTATGCCATTCTCAGAGTCCGCTGCGAAAGGTCCCCCCTTAACTAAGAATGTTTTTCGAGCCAAGAATTGATTGTAACTACTACCCCAAGAACAAATGCTATAGAAATGTTGTATTAACTAAGAAAATCGATCGTAAATGGGACAAACCAGGCGCGGTCTGAGGTCCGTCCGGCTGACAGAGAGGCCGATAAGCCCGGTTGCCTGCCTAACATAATAAAGGGGTTTTGTAGCACAAACTGCCTACATTGCAGGCGGTTCCGGGCGGCTCACTAGACCTGACAGGGGGGGTGGGTCGGGCAATGCCCCCCCCCCTCTCCCTTTCTTTTTAGAGAGGCCGCGCCTGGGACAAACAGATACAGAGATAAGAAATAAAGAGTTAGAGTCTTCCCAGACATACAGCCACTTCCTTCTCTGAAAGAATAGCATGTAATAAAGTCTCCCTTTATAAAAATTGAAAAATTCATCCGACATAAAAATACCACATTTCAATCACAGTCTTGTCAGTTACACTGAGACACACAACAGAATTTTTTTCCTTTTTTTAATATAGACCTCTCTTCAGATAATTCCTTACATCTGCTCCTATGACCCAAAATGCAACAATGCAGCACGGACAGTACCATGTGTCAGGGACACAACACAACAGAATGCAGTTTGTTTTGAAGAAAGACAAAGTTTCGCACTGCTTGCCATGCAAATGTGCATAACCCCACAGTACAAGTAGACAAGTGTAACTCTACAGATTATAAGAACAAGTACTGTATCCTTCTTAGAACTATTAAGGCAAGATCATCAATCAATTAGGCATTTAGAGCACCAATTACAAATTCATCCAGGTACCTTTAATCAAGGTATTCACAAGAGAGACACATTTAAACTTCTAAAAAAATTGGAAAGTGTAAACATTATAATTTAAATTAAAACAACAGGTTCTGTATGCCCCTTTAACAAAATATATGATTGATTAGCCATTAAAAGAGCAAATCATATATGTTTCAAAAATCAATTGTTTAAAATACGTCTACAAATTAAGGAACACAAAAGCCTTACAAAAATAAAAGTTTCAAAAATGCGAGTAAAACAATTCAAAAAAAGAAAAAAAAAAAAAGAAGAAAGAGGGGAAGAGAACAAGAGAGGACTTGTTCAGCTCAGAAATGTACAAATTATAATACATTCATAAATTTATGGTTATGAAAGGAGTCAACTCCTCCAAAAGCAAGTCAAACATTTTTAAAAGGTAATCTCAACAATATCTATCTATAGGAAATTCTTTTCCTAAATTTAAAGTCAGCTCTGTTAGGTAATTAATTACAGATAATACCTACTCTCACATTATCTCTTTGTTCTCATTTAGAGACTCAATATTTTCCGGCACACTTTCTGTACATTTTTCAGGTCCTGTACTTTCAGTTTCAATAGTTTTCTCTGATGAAGCACATGCAATGGTTTGATCAGCATCCTCTACTTTTTGCATTAGTTCTTTGTCCATAGACTCACTTTTCTGGGTTTTCAGTGAAGAGACATTGATTTTATTGCCTTCCTCACCAATAACTTCATGATCAGCAGAACTCTCTCTAACTGTGGGAGATAACTTTTTGATCTCAGATTCATTTTCTTGAGTTTGTGGTGAGGAAATATTGCTTCCATTGCCTTTCTCGTCAACAACTTCGTCTTCAACAATGCTCTCCTTCGCGGTTGGTGTTAACACTTTAGACTTAGGATCACTTTCATGAGATATGAGGGAGGAAGCATTAGTTTTAATATCTTCCACTTTTCCATTGCCATCAGTTTTATTAGTTTGGTCATTTTGTGAAAGATCAGCTGATAATTTGTTACATTTGTCATCATTCTCCTCTTCTTTGAGACATATGATATCATTTGTTTTTTGAGAAATTGGTGTACCCAATTCCAGTTTAGGGGCACACTCAGTTTCTTTAATCAACTGAATGTTGGCATTCTCAGCTTCTTCTTTCATAATGTGACTGCTTGATTCAATATTGGACAGTTCACCGTCTTCTCTTTTGATAGGAGTGTCCCTGGGACCATCTTGCTCTAATTCTTGTACACAACTGGGTGGAATATCTAAAATTGAGACAGGGCCTGAAAGTTCCTCTGCTGAAACAGTCTTCTCATGAATTCCAGAACCAGCCACATTGCTTGTATCCTCCTCAGTAATCTTCTCATCTTTCACACCTTTACTTCTTACAAGCTGGGAAAGGTCCTCTGGTAAAGAAGTGTCCGTAGGAATGGAAGTGAGGGACATGCAGTCAACTTCAGCTTGAACGATTTGGGTGGTGACAAGGAGAGGATCTAATTTAGCCCCATCTAATTCATCACCACTATCTTCAAGGCATGAAGTATCCAATCTAAAAGAAACTTTATGGGAGTGGGAAGACCCATCTTCATTGACTTCTTGTTTTGCTTGTTCATTTAACAGAGCTTGATATGCAGCCTCAGCATCTAAGTCCAAAGTAGCATTGTCCTGGAACCCTGCAGGGTGAAAATCATCCCAAAGGAATTCATCTTCCTTTCCTGGAGCTGGAATAGGGTCCAATGACTCTGGCCCTGAAGAGACATCAATAGACTTGGATAATCCCAGATCATGGTCAGGGGCTCTTTGGAGGTCTGTTAGAATTGAAACATTCCCTTCATCAGAAGACAAATCTTCCCAAGATCCATCTTCTTCTGCAGTGCCTGTGGTGGTCCCTGTGCTTGTTGTTGAGAGAACTCTATTTCTTCTAGCTTTTCTTGGACTCTTTCGAGAACGTTTCAGTTCATTGTTTTTGCCTGGATGGATATAATTAAGATTAGTTTCTGTTTAATAAAATACATAGGTATGTATGTTCTACAAATACAGTGAAACATGGATAGTGAGAACCTAGATAGTAAGAATACCTTCTCAGAAAGTCACATTTTGGAGTACCCAAGTCTAATATGTTGTACATCAAAGTACCTTATTAAAAAGAATATCAAGACTTAACATACTGAGACTTCCGTTGAGAGCGATTATTATCATCCAGATCCTGGTTTTACTATACCAGAGAGACAAGACATTGACTTACTAAAATCAGGAATTGCAGCATCTTGACTCATTGTAAGAAGAAGATTCCCGCCAACTTCCTCAACACACCGCTTCTGCGACCCCATGGGATCAACAACAACAGAAACTTGTAGTTTTTCCACCGATTTAACATGACTCTCAATGAGAACAGCATCTAGAATAGAAAAAAAAGTGCAATGAGAAATCAATACACAATGAACTTGAGTAATAATTACACATTCGGCCTTTTGGTGTTGTAAATTACGTACCCTCTGCTTCTTTAGGAGTTTCCACAGTTATATTGGAGGAGGGTTTTTCACCTGATCCATTGTCATGCCTTGTGTTGTCTTTGTATCGGGTCTGATTGGAGAAGCGACCTCTGCGAATAAATTTGTTCCTAGAGGACTCATCATGTTCATCTTTGCCAGCAGAATCATGTCCCGTAATATTTCCATGGGTATTGTTTCTTGGAGAGTAGCTTTGTTTAGGACCATTTCCATATTCTTCCTGAAAACCTAATAACAACAAAATTTGTAAAAGCTGAAAGGAGAGGAAACAAGGACACACTTCATGGGAATTCATAGGAACACCCCTATTTACCTCTACGGGGCTGACCTCGATCATAATTTTGGGTTTGATTACCTCTTCTCCACCTATTAGGTCGATCATCACCACTGCAGTATAGAAAGAAAACTTTACTTAGGCTGTATCACCTTAATAGAAATAACAGATAACAGATAACAAATAACAGATAACAGATCCATTTCAGGAAGGAACAATAGATGGCAGGAATAACCTGTGTAAGATAGATCTGTTATCTGTTATTTGTTGTCTGTTATCTGTTATTTCTCTTAAGGTGATACAGCCTTAGTACATAATAATGATCTCTAGATAATGAACTACAGGCAATGGCTTAAAGTAATCCAATAAGGTCAAGATAATGAGGACACTCACTCCTGTAAGACTTTGTGGTTGTCCCACTCTCTACTCCAGTTTCCGTCAGAAGTTTTCTGGCGATTAATTCTTTCTTGATCAATTAAACTCCTTTCCCGGCGCCAAGCATCGTCCGATTGCCGCCTGTTACCATCAAAATTTGTGGGAGGCCCATCTTTGCGATCATCAAATCCATCTTTCCTGAAGTCCTAAAATAAGTGTAATAATTTTAAATTAAGACAAAAGCTTAATAAAATTACTGACTGATGATTACATTATTGGTAATAACTATTAATTACAATATACCACATAA